GGTAGAGAGAGAAGTGGCTTCAGGTGAGAGTTTCATTTTGTTCAGTAAATGGATTCTGTGATCTCTGTTGGAGCTCACTAATGATGCCGCATGAACTTTAGTATAGTTTGCCTGATTAACGTGTTTGTCTGGTTGGCTGTTTTCTCCACTTCACTGCTGGATTATGTACCAAGTTTGTTTGGAATGTTACCATTAAATTAGGGCTGCAACTAATCATTATTTAGCTAATCGATTAATCTGTGGGTTATTTTTTTGATTAATAATCGCAGAGCCAAAGGTTCCCTAAAGAAGATTTTTACGACACTAAACCAGGTGAAACGCTTGAGGTGTTCTAGGTGCAGAATATTGACAGAATTTTTTTTATTTTTTTTTTTATCTTAAATGCAAAATGTTTCTATATTTTACAATCATAATAATATATAATATAATTCCTGCTCTAAGTGGGTCGTTCTGCCAGCTAAAGGCATGTTTTAGAGTCTCTATACTCCAGTTAACCATTAATATATTATTAAATTAGTTGATTATTTAAATAATCAATTAATGTGATAAATAGTTTCAGCCCTGGATAAAATCCATGAAATGGGCGACACAGAGTAACTACAGCCCAGATGTACAACTTGTAAAGTGAAGTTAATATTTTCAAAGCTCAGTGTTCCTCTTATAGTTCCAGTACTCATGGAAATACAGTATTTATTTGCCGTCCCTTGAATGTATTATTTAGCTTTATACAGAGAGAGCATATCAGATAAAAAATAACCGTGGGGTTTACCTCGGCACAATTCTATATGTTCACCAGAAAACACAGGATAAATCCACATATAACAGACATATTTAGACTATATTTGGTTAAACAGGCAGGTATTAACCTACTGTCTGAGTCGCTGGTGAGTTCAAATGAAACCCCTTTCAAAGTGAAAAAAAATCCTAATTCCTCATTCATCAGAGCCGCTGATGCTTCAAACATTGATAAACAGCATCTAGTGTTTGTAGTGATTATAAAATTAGTATAAATGCAGCAAAAAATGCTGCTTTTCTCTTTAAATGAAATGCTTCCTGATTTTAACATCAAGCATAAAAAGAGCATGCATATTTCTGCATAGGACCAATGACATCAGACCAATGAAACTAAAGACCAATAGTGTCCCTACCAAAGCTGGAATCAAACCTACGCCCTTAATCAGCCACATGTCTGCAGTTTAGAGTCAACACAGCTTTACCATCAGAAATATCAGCACTAANAGCTTCCAGTAGTCCATGTTAGTGAACAGCTAGCTTAGCTTCACTCTAACTCTCAAGTTCATCCAGCAACAAAGAAAACAAACACACAGCCCAACAGCTTCTCCTTCAAACTCTACTGTGTCCTGCTAACCTGCAGACTGGATATTAAACTCCTCCTGACAACAAGTCTGAGCTAACTCACTTCCACACCAGCTAACTGCTCCTGCTATGGCAGCCGTTTAACGTTCTTCTTCTTCTTCTGTTTTTTATTGGCGGATGGCAACCAGCTTAAGGTGCATTTACCGCCACCTACCAGAATGGAGTGTGGCTATCAATGATGTCAGAGGGACGTTATTAATTCATACCTCAATGGTATGAATGAAACTGCATATTATCTATGGATCAATATCTATACAAACTGACATATAAATTATTATGTGTGAATATTCACATGCACATACACACTTATATTCTTTATTTAAATAGGATAAAATAATCCAGTGTTTTTAAAAAATCTAATTAACTAATTTCTAGTAAAATAAGATGCATTTCCTATAAGGTTTATCATTGAAAATCCAATTTTTTCTCTATTTAGTGTAAACTTTAAATGCTGACGTTCCTGTGAATACTTATTACATTCCATTAATACATGTTATACTGTTTCTATCTGATTACAGTGATTAAAGATCCCTGTGTCATGCTTCCCTATTCTGAAAAGAGAAACATTAAGTCCAGTATGACCAATTCTAAGTGGAGATATTATTCCCTCTTCTTTCCACCTTCTTTTTGTACAACTCTTACCCCCCCACAGTCTTCTGAATTTTATATGGATCTCTCCCAGTGTCATGATTATCCCATTGTTCCTGCCAAACCTTACAGATTTTATTTTGAATTATAGATTTACCCTGACTTTTGCTTAAAGGAGAATTCCGGTTTTTAACACTTTTAGCCCATTTTCTGTAGTGTCCAGGATGAAATCGAACGATCGACACCAACATTTTGACAATTGCTCCTGTCTCTGCTTTTTGGCTCATTTAGAATCCCCCCCTGGCTGCTTTAGAATGGCTTCCATAGTGCATGTCCAATAATGTCCTTAAAACAACCTTAAACGTTCTTTTTTTTTAAATATGCTACTCACCGGGTCGTCAGCGCTGTTCAATGACGTTCCAAAAAAAGTTTCGTAAAGAAAAA